ACAAAAGAAACGTTTTTGAAACTAAAATACAGTGAGGCAAATTACATGTACGTGCATGTGAGTGAGCAAAGAATGGAACAAAAGATTAATATGTTGGAATCAACGATTTACAAAGGAAAATACATGGTAATTTATATATGTAATTTCTTATATATTGTCTAAGAATAAGAAACAGATTTTAGGGATTCTATGTCATTGAGAACAACAATTTGCCACATTTAGTATCAGGCCTAATAATTAAAATTTTATGGATGTAAGATGTTAATGATACCTCAGAGGCTGTAAATATATTTCCTATCGTGCAATATCAAGGAAGCATGTGTAGATAGCAGTAAAGGATACAACAATATGAATATGAGGCAGAAGATGATGATTAGCCTGAAAATTGTAAATAGATAAGTGAAAAATGAAATAATAAATAAACAAAGTTAAAAAGGGGGTGGCGGGAAGGGAAAAGAAAAGACCAAAAAAAAAAAAAGTCAAAAGGATAGATGGCAGGTTAAGAAAAGAGCAAGAATAAAACATGAATGTTAGAACATTTTTGTTTGGTTATTTTACATAGTAATGATAAGTACAATAAAGTTTGAAGAAGAGAAATGTGATGACATTACTATGCATATTATGTTTTATGTTATTTGATGATCACATGTGATTGTTTTCATATTTATTTATAGTGTTTTGTACATATCCTACATAGATGATCATGGCTACGGAGATGAAAGAATATGGGACTCTATTATCTTAGTCTTTTATTAAAAAGATATAAAAGATAGATATTTACATGTGTTTTAGGGATGAAAGACTGAATAAGAATGAAGCAAGTATAAATAAAGGGAAGGGAACAACAATAAACACAAAGGATTAGATAATAAAGAATGAGAGGAAATAAAGGTATATTAGTAGATAAACAAATAAAGCACATAAAAGATTAGATAATAAAGAATGTGAGGACGTAAAGGCATATCAGTAGGTAAACAAATAAATAAATAGAATGGCAAAAGAAATGGCTGAAGAACAATAATAAAAGTTGAATATAATAATGAAGGCCATTAAGTCATAGGTGTATGTAGATATAGGAGCAAGTAAATAGACAAATGACGAAATAAGTAAACGGACCCAAAAGAATGTCATATGACAGGGATATGATAATAGTTTTATTTAGCAATCATGGCTCAGACATTGGATGTTTTCAACAAAGTATGATGGACAAACAAACTTATATATCAATAGTAATTTTATGGCTGCTTTCTAAGGGCAAGTGCGCAAAATTCAAGCTTAATAAGATGTCATACCCACCATTGATTAGGATTTGCATGTTAGGGGGAATGGCGAAGCAGGCTAAAATACAATGTTGTCCACAGACTACCATGCAAATGAAAAAAAGTTGAATAAATCAGGAAATAAGTAAAAAAAGTATAGTTGCATTTGTATAGAATGGGTGAAAATCTGAGGGAAGAATAGGGATAAGGGAATAAGAAATAAAAGGTTAAATAACATAACGACAATAGAATCAAGGAAACAAAAGAACATGGTGGAGAAAAATATGGAACAAAAAGGGCCAAAAATTTCAGAACAACAATATTATCATACTTCATTTTGTATAATAGAATGAGGATGCACAAACAGGAAATAATTCCAAGCAAACCATTTATAACGAAAGAGAAAAAGAATGAAATAAAAATGAAGAGCAATAAATGATATAGATAAAGAATTAATGATTTAAGTAGTCAATGGAGAAATGTGAGGGATTCAATATAAATTAATGTTATAAAGAAAATATCATAAGAGAAAGAGAGGAAATTGATTCAAAGAGTACACCAATCAAAGAGTAAAACGTAACAGTCGGGAAGAACTAGAGCAAAAAAAAAAAAAAAGAGTAACAAATTATAAATCAGTAAGAAAAGAGAAAAACAAAATCAACATAAAGAAAATGGATTCGCGGCAATGTCTGGACAAACACTATGAAGCCTGACATGTGCAAATCAATTATAGTCATCATTGCCATTTAGAGGGGAAAATGGATAAGAAAGGAGAAAAAAAAAGGACCTGATGGTAAGGTGCATGGGATAAAGACATATTTATAAATATGGTATTTAAAGGTAAAGGATCCATGGTGTTAAGAAACAGATAAAGTGAAAGGAAATACATAGGTCTGTTTAGGCAGTACAAAATAAGGGGAAGAAAAAGAACAGGGCCAAAAAAAAAACGGAGGTAGGGAAATTAACGGCAGTCATTAGCAATAAAAAAAGTGTCTCACCAACATTGCACGTGAATAAGAAGTAGTAAATAAAGAACAAAAGTATGCACGAAGAAGTACAATAGAAATAAAAAAAGAAAAAAAATAATGGATATACACAATACTACAGTGAAAGAATTTATTCAATATTAGCAAATGACATTCAAAAATTAATAGCAAAAGGGTATTAATCGTACCTGAATCGGTCCAAAGACTGCTTTAATAGTGAGGTATGAACAAACCAGGCAAAGTCAGAGGCGGCCAGGAATAAGCAAATAGGAAAACATGGCACTAAATGATGGATGATGAAATCGAAGAGTAAATGATGAAAGATTAAACAAACGTAAAGATAGGCAGTCAGAAATAGAAGAGTAAAAGAGCAGAGCAATAAATGGTCATGGGTAAAAGAAAGTAGTAAATGATCAGGGATAAACATGTGAGAGCAAGAGAAAGGTACAGGGGAAACATAGTGAAGAATAAATCGATGCAAGACAATAGTCTTCATAAATAAGAAAGGAAAAAGCAGATGTGAACAGTAACTGCCCTGTAATTACACAACACTTAACATGGCAAGGTCGGTTTACAGAGCGTAAAAAATCAAAATTTGTGGACTAAATCACAGACCCAATGCCATAATAATTATTTTAAAAGAAAAGGAGTGTAGAAATAGGAAGAAAACTAATAGAGAAAAAAAGGGCAGAAAAAGGAACGGAGCAAAATGGCCACAAATTTCAGATAATTAGCAAATCATTTAATATTATTGCAGTGAAATGAGAGCAAATGGTGAAGATAGGAAGACAAATCAGCAACATAGGGAGGACAACTAAGCATATCAATAAATGAAACAAAAAAAATAAAAAATTACCCATTTGCAGCATAAAATCAGAGAAGAAAAGCTCCAGGCATGCAGAGAAACATTATGCGGGAGGTAAAAAAACCAAAATCCATCAGGCATGAGGAAAATTATAAAAATATTAAAATGAAGATTATTATCTTAAAGAGGCAGAAAAATAAAGGTAACAAAAAGGAGGGGCAGAAAATAAATAAAAAAAAATGAACAGAATTAAGGGAAAAACATGCGATGCAACAAAATCTTAAGTGAGAAAGGAAGATTAAACAGATTTAAACCAAGAACATAAAGAAAATCAAAGATAAGTTACAAATCATAACCAATGTCCACCAAGATGAGAGAGAAAAAAATAGAAAGAAGAAAAAGTCCACAAAATGCCTCAAATGCTCAACCCAAATGAGACAAAAATGAGCAAAAAAACCAGCAGATACAACATTCTAAGAAAGATGAATCAAGGGGAAACAATATGAGGCCAACGGCCCCTTTTGTAAACTAAAAAAAGCAAAAAAGCAGGAGATAAAAAGATACAAATCCGGAGATATCAAGAGAAATCATAGAAACTTGCAAGAAGAAGAGAAGCAAAATGAAATATAAGTAGTCAGAAATTAAAGGAGGAAAAGAAATAGGAACTCAAAAAGAAGAGAAAATAAAAGCCCCAACTTTCAGACGAAAGCAAACCCATGAAACAAATCGGGTAAAAGTGCATAAAATTCCCAAATTTCTCCAGCCAAGCGACACTAATAAAGAAGAACATTGAGAGCAAAATCTGCACTCCGCCTGTAAAAATCAACCACAAACAAAACAAACAATCATTAACAAATAGGTACATATTTTAAAAAACAAATAAAAAAATTATAATGAAATTTCTAAATTATCAATGACTAAATAAATTTTTAAGAACATAGCTGAAGGAGACTAATTTATTTAACAAAAAAAAGCATTACGCCAAACCCACAATAGTAATCGAACGGAGAACACAAAAAAAAGATTAAGAAGAGGATGAAGCAAAAGACCAAAATAGAAGACCCAACCAAAATCCTCAATGGAAACAACGGAAACATGCGCGAGAACAGTAAAAATCTCACCCAAATTTCTTAATCGAAAGAGAAAAGAAGGTGAGTAAAAGACAATTAAAAATATCTACACCGTAAACATCAACCAAAGAAAGATCAAATAAGAAATAATAACAATGAGGAAGATCAGAAGATAAGAAGCAGCCGAAGCAAGAAGTAAGCAAAAAGAAAGAAGATGGGAAGCAAGGAAATCTGGTCCAAAAATGAAAAAAAAAAGAAAGATGTTGAAGGTTGCAAAAGGCAGCAGAAAAAAAATACAGATGTAGAAGGTTGTAGAAGGCAACAAACGAAAAGAAAAAAAGTAAAATACTCAATCTAAGTGCAAATGACCAAAATAGTCATAATAAAACAAAACAAATGAAATTAAAATAAAGGGCAATATAGTAACTGAACATTAAAAAGGACATAACGGGAATAAAAAATTCATCAGAAGAAAAAAGCAAGGCTAAAACGGGAAAGACACTGTTCATTACACTGTAGCATTAATAGTGAATCTCGTCATTTCTTTTAGTATATGTATAATATGAAACTTTTTTTCCAAATATGTTCCCATTTAATTTTTTACTGTATAATCCTCATTATTTCGATGGTGATATATATGTTTGTGTTTTTTTTATGTATTACCTAACTAACTAAATAGAAATTTATTATTAAATAAATTAAAAAAGAATAACACAATAATTAAAACTTCACATAAAGATTACTCCTAAAGTGCACTTCGACCAAAACGGCCTTGTTTTGATTGAAAATTTTCGAACAAAACGTGGTCGTTTTGGTTGGAAATGGGGCGCTTCTTCTTTTGTTTTTTGTTTTTGTTTTTTTTTTTTTTTTCAACGTTGCTCTCTTCCTTCTCGATTGACTGCCGCTCTCCTATCTCTCTCTCCTGCTCTCTTTCCGGTTTTCCTCTCTTCCTCCCTCCTATTGGTTTCTCCGGCGCCGGAACGTTCGTTTTGGTCGAAACGAGCGTTTTGGTCTAACAGTGTTTTTTTTATTTATTTATACAATCCCCCTTTCTCTTGGTTTCCCTTCCTCTCATCCTCCTGTTTTCTCGCCTGATTTTCTCCCTCAGATTTCTTTCTCTGGCGTCGATTTCCTGCTGGGTCGTGGACGGTTCCAAGCAAATACAAATGGAGGCTTTTTTCTCTTTCCGGTTTGGATCTCTCACTTCCCTTCCGCTTTGGTCGAGAGAAGCTTAGAACTTTTTTTTTTTTTTTTCCGCACTCCTCCCCTCTCCTCCACAGTCCACACCTATATCCTTGCTCAGTCATGGACGTTTCCTTTTCTTCCAGGTTTATGCTTTCCCCTCCTCTTCTTCTTGTTCTTCTTGTTCTATTTTTTTTAATATATTTTTTATTTTGGGATTTATTTTGTTCTATGTTTCGATGTTTGTTTTGTTTGATTTTCGATTATTGTTTTGCCTATCTGATATTGATTATCTTGTTAGAAACTGTTTGGTTTTCTTTGAACCCTAGAATCAAAAGCTAGGATGATCGAAGTTCATAATTTATCGTGTGAATGAAAAGGTTCACAGTCGGTGTATTTGATCATTTGATTTTCGTCTTTTTTGTCTTTCTTTACTCTTGTTTCTGATTGATTGATCTTTCTTTCGTTGTGTTTTCTCAGAGTTTGTCATTTTTCGTCTCTTTAACTTCTTTTGCGGCTTACCAGTTCTTGTTTTGAAGGGGTTTTTTGTTTTGGTGCGCGAAAACTGAAACATTAGTTACATTCATGTACAAAAAGATTCATATTGTTCCGGCTTGCAGGTGGTGCCATTTTCTTCATCAACCTTGTATTTGACTGTGGTTTTTCATTTGGGTATCAATCATCTTTTGTTTTTCCTTTTTTAAGAATCAATTTGGTATGGGTGGATGGTTTTATATTGGTTCTTGAATGCGTGCTTCTTGAATTTGAGTTCGTTTGTTTCTTAGTTTAGTGTTGTTTGTTATCTTTTCAATTTTTTTGGGCACAATAGATTTTAAACTGACTTGCCATTGATTTTAAGTGTGCTGCCTGGTGTTGTTGAGTTTGAAACACCACCGGTGGTCACTTTGGCCTCCGAGGAACACAATTTCTTTTTTGGTGTGTGTTTTTGTCTGTCTTATATGTAAAATTTTTGTGCGTTCCAATATGTATTGGGATGTGTTGAGGTGATTTGGGTAGAATGGGAAGAAAATTTGAGATGGGTGTGTTTGGGGGAAAAAGAGATGCTGGAAATTTGGCTTTGTTTGGTGGGTTTTTTATTTGTGGGCAATTAGGAAAGTAAGACAAAGAGGAAAGGGAAATGATGGAAGTTGTGAATACATGTGGTCAAGATGGGTTCTGTCATGTAAGTTTGGTTAAAGGTGTTACATTGGAATGTCAATGATAAAATATAAATAGTTCTAATGCCAGAATATACTTTCTCATTGTATACTCAATACCACCATTAATGGCAGCTTTTGGGATTTTTCATCTTTGGAGATGTAGGTTTTCAAATTTCAATACGTTGTTTCTTGTTGGCTCACTTGTTCTGTCATTTTACACTATGTCAAACAACTGAAACAAGGATTTTATTAAGAAATGTATGTTGTTTGCATACTTCTCTTTGCTTAATTTATTTGGATAAAGATTGGAGATTCTGAACTGACAATTTGTTGGAACTTGATTTTTATCTTTATGAGTTTCATATCAAATGAGTGCTTATTATCATGCAGATCGTTTCAAGTTGAAAGAAAATTTCTTTTAGTTCCCTAGCTAGCTTCTTTTAATAAACCGTATATAGTTCAAAGGTTTTATTATTGGAATTATTATTTTTTGAGATGCAGACATTGGATTTTTGGCTTGAAGATTACAAAACATGCTGGCGGTTATTATGTGACGCAGAGGTCCTCAAGAAGTGATTTGCTCGGTGTCACTGCTAAGTAGTAGGTATGCATCATTAGTGCATGTAATTACGATCCACTTGATCTTGTATTTTTGCTTCTGCAATGCTGCTTATCGCAATGACTTCTATGGCTCTGCAGGGCTTATCATTTAAGATGCTTTATCTTATTAATTTAGCATTTTCCAGCGTTTAGGCTGTCCGTCTATGAATTGCAATTGCGCCTTTGTTCATCAGTGGAATAAGCATGACTTCTTATTGTTTTATGTTATTATGGACTCTTGGTATTTAACGAAAAGTGCATAAAGTTTTAAGGCATGGCAACTGATATGCTTGCTGCGTTGCTTTCATTTATTATTTATGCACGTAAAACAGGAAGATTGGACGTGTGTGAAGCACGCATAAAAAAACAAGACCCATATGCCATTATTGCATGCCCCAAGATCAAACAGTGCTGTATAGTTTTAGTTTTGCTTGTAATGAATTGAAATAACAATATTATCAGTTGAGTACAAAATCAACGAAATTTTGTGAATATACTAATTAAATCTCACAATTCCACCAACACATATATATATATATATATATACATATATCATTGTATTCAATCGTAGTAATATATGCAATATTTAATCTAAGCATAACTTTACATAACAAATAGTTGTTTAAGCCAGTAAGTTTTAAAGAACAGGTACGTAAGTTTTTTTTTTTGTTTTTAAAGTTCTTTTAGAAAAAATTACGTGAGAGAAAATGTAAAGACAAAAAAGGAGGAGAAATGATCAAAAGAAATTGTGAGAGAGATAAAATTATATCTCATTGTAGCCATGGGTAAAGTTGAAAAGAATTAAAAAATGAGTGGGGTAAAGTTGGAAGGAAAAATAAGACAATACATAAAAGTGTAATTTTTTATTTATTTTTTCCTTAAATCCAATAAGAGCACGTGCCCCCACTATGTCCTTGTGACTATGGACAGGTTTTTTAATCTTTTTGGTTTCAGAGGAAAACCTGACTATGATAGATTCATCTAATTTTGTTTATCATTGATGATTTTAGGTGTTTGAACTCTTTTCTATGTTTTGAATTGGACTTCTAATGTCCCTTTTTTAGAAAGAAATGATGGTCAACAATATTTACTCATTTGTTTTTTGTTTAACTATCAATATGCTAACATTTTTCATCTAAAATTTAACAGAATATAACTAAGGGACTAAATTTGAGACATTAAAAGAGTTCAAGATTTAAGTTAGTACAATTTTCAGTATGGGGACTAATTATAGAAAGAGAAGAAAGTTCAGACGTGATAAATTTAACTCAATGAAATTTTCTCTATAGCTAGATAAGATCGAAACGTTGGTTTTGAATGGACTATATATGTGTCCTTTTGGAATATATAGTTTATCACTTAAAACTCATTTTTTGTTCAATTTTAGTGTTTTCAATTGTTTACAACCAATCATGTAAACCATCTCTAATTCAAATGCTAATACCAATTGTATATTTAGCGTCAAAATCTATGATATGGCATGTTATTTTCATTTTTGTTCCAATGCATAATGCTATTTGAAATGCTAAATCTACTTTTTTCTAAAATTATTAAGTTTTGGAAGTTGTAAAAGTAACCTTTTATTTTTAAAATAATTAAAAAATGCAAAAGTTGCATTGATTACATAGAAAAAGTAAACATTTCAACCAATAGTAATCAAATGCCAAATTTCCCATATGTTATACTTGGTGGGAAATTTACCACAAAGTATAGCATATGAGAAATTTGGCACAACAAATAGCATTGCACTCAAATGTTAAATTTGCAATTGGCACATTAATTATGGCATTGCATTGGAGATGCTCTAATGCAACAACATTTAAAAATTTTGAAATACTTTTTAACTTATTTCTTCATGTATTAATATTTTAGTTCATCACGAGCTTGTTGCCCGTGCGTTGCTGCGGAAAGTATTGTTGGTGATGTTTTTAATGTAGAAGCAGTTTGTAGATGTATTTGTATATAAATATGCATAGTATTTTAGTCTAAAATATATTTATGGATACAAATATTTATGTATGTAAATATATACATACATAAATATATGTATCCATACTGTGTTGTCCTTGTTCTTTGTTTCTTTCAGCTGCAAAAGAGAAGTTGGAAAAGTGCTTAGAATTTGTAATTATAATGGCTATAGAAGTTAAAAATTCTTACTATAATTATTGTAAATAAAGAAATTTAGAAATGGTTATGGCACCTGGTTTTTGGACGCTTGTTGAATTGTTGTGCTCCTTTTGATTGAGAATTGAAATGATTAAAAAAGTATTTAGTTGTATATTTGATTATAGTGGCTATAGAAGTTTAAAAGTTTTGATTATAGTTAGTGTGAATGAAAGAATTTAGAAATGTTGTGTTACTTAGTCCTTGGACGTTTGTTGGGCTGCTTTGTTGTTTTTGATGGAGAACTGAAATGACAAAGAGTTATTTAGTTCTATATTTTATATAATAAATATGATACTTGATTGATAGATGATTTAAATGAGTAAATATGTCTTACCTTGAAGTTCTTTTTTTAGGATATGGTGTTTTTGGGTCTAGTGTGGTTGGACTTGATATTTGTAGTGGTGGTATTGGAGATTGAATATTTGTTGCCTTCGATTGGGTTCTGAAATGGCTAAAAATTATTTAAATATATATTCTCAATAATAAGCATTATTTTTACGTATAGTTGATATAAATTTGTTGATTTGTCGTACCTTGTGATATTCTTTGGGATCTAATGTTGGTAATGGGACGGGGTGTCTTCAAATATTTTTGAGGCAATCATGGTTGTTTGCATGCTTTTTTGTTGAAAATAGACTTGAAAGATCTTTGTTTGCCTTCGTAGCTGATCAATGATTGGCGGTATTATGAGTGGATCGGTAAAACCCTCATCAATTGTTAAAGCACAGCATGGATTTTTAATCAATGTTTGTGCTGCTTTGCCAAAGATGGCGATCTCCATATTTCCAATACTATCTTCGATTTGTGTGTTTAATTTGTACCTGTAATCGAAATATTGAGCATTTATGAATATATTTATTTATCAATTGTGGTTAATGGAAGTAAGTAATTTGTAGTTATAGTTTATTAGTAATTTTACTTACCATGGAGACAGTGTTGTTTTAACATGTCCGTGATTATTACACCACCAAGTCTTGTTTTTTTTTTTTTAGTTGGAATCATCTGGGGCAAGAGTTGTAATACCATCGTTGAGTTATTAGAAATTCAATGATTGTGGCTCTTACAGTAAATCTTGTTCCCTGAATATATTTAAAAAAAGTTGTTAGTTTAAGTGATAATATTGATGAAAAAAGGGAAGAGGGAGTAATTTAATTATACTAACCATATTACTTTGTGGATCTAGTGCCTTTAATTCATTGATTGTTCTTCTATTTTCTGTTTTTTGTTCTTCGATTGATTGTATTGAGATTGTTGATGCTGGTAGGAACTCAATCTCTTGGCCTTGTTGGGAGAATCTGTGTCAGAACAGTAATAATGAGATGAAAATGTTGTAAAAATTTTAAAATGTGTCATGGGATTGATTTTTTAAAAGTTGTTTTAGATTGTTTTGTTACCTTGTCTTTAATGTCTTTGTTTCTGGAATGTCTGGGTCAATATAGAAAATTGTTGCTGCAGTGCTTGAGACATAAGTATTGCCGACAATGTAAATGGTAAATCAATCATTATTTTGATGTAGATTTTATATTTATATGGAAAATTATGATGATGAAGCGTTTAAAATAATACCTAGGTATTGTTTGACCAACATTGCTGTAAGAGTCGCTACCATTGGTGCTTTAAACGTTTTCAAAACGTTCTCATCAAGTTGGTCTGTTTTGTGTCCCCAAAGTTACTTGTAGTTGTTCATTTTTGTTGGAAGGGTAGAATAAAAATAAGGATTTAGAAAAAAAGAGATTTGATGTTGTAATAGTCTTCTATTTTTATGAAATAATATTTGGTATGATTATGCTTAAATATGTCTGAGGTTCATTTACCTTAGGTTTTATATCATTATTGTACGCCTCGTTGTTGGTCGGTCACCAACATTTGTTTGTTGTATTTGTTGGACAGTTGATAAAACTCCAATGACATATGAAATTCAGTAAATGCAAAATGTTATAAATAGGGATTAATGAAATTATAATAATTGAAATTGATTGAAATAGGTGATTTGTATTACCCGTTAAAATTTTGATGTTGCCGATTCTTTGTTGTAGCTGATCAACATCGATGAAGTAGAATCTGTGATGGTATTTCTTCTGTAATAGGTGTGAAAGATGTTACGCGTGCGAATTGAAGCATTGCGATGTATGGCACAACTTTGTATGTTTGTTTTGAGCTACATAGAAATTGCTGATGTCATATACATCGCCTTGTTGGATTTTTTGAGAAATGGTGTCTGAGTCACGTGCCCGTATTGTTCCTTAGATTCTTCATGTTGCAAGTTAAGAAGATAAATGATTAGTTTTTTGATTATATTGAATATTAGAAAGAAAAGATATCATGTCATACGGTATTTGTAGAAGTTCTTACCTCTTCATCAACTAAGAGACAGTCGAGGCTTATCAGATGTCCAGTTGCAAAGTTATTATTTGTCCATAATTTGCAAATTCGTGCTCTGATAGTTTCATATATTTCATGTGCTTCAATGCACGTATTGGTGTTGTCATTTTTTTTGGCTGTCAAAAATAATAAGTAATTGTTTAGTATAAGAATGAATTAATTTTGTGTGTATAATTAAATTGTTATTGACTAAATTTGTCAAGAATGCCAGAAATATGATGGTGTGGGGGTTTTTTTTTTATAATATTCTATGTTTTTATACGACATTGTGTAAAATTTCTTTGCAGATAATATTTTTTATATGATTTAAATATTTATTGATTGAATTGTGAATTAGTATGTGTAATCCTTTTGGATTTGTGACTCTAGATAAAGAGACGTATAGTTGACCATGAGTAAAAATTTCATTTTCTAAATATAGTCCAACTTTATTGAGAGATTATCCTTGATTTTTATTTATTGTCATTGCATAGCAAATTTTTATGGAAAATTGTTGCCTTTTTAATGTAAATGGCCATTTAGGCTCATGTATAGTTCAATCCTAGGAATATAAACTTTTTCGTTTATATTGTTTGAATTTATAATTTGTGCTTCTATTATTTTATTTGTTAATTGTGTAATGATGAGTCTTGTTCCATTACATAATCCAGCAGATTAGTTTAGATTTCTTAATAGTATAATTAGAGTGCTAA